GAGAGCTCTCCCAGCACAGGCATGAGTGCGGTGCTCAGGAGGGAGGAGGATGGATCATGGTGGCTGGGTTCAGCTCAGCGGTGTCAGTCTGCTCTGAAGATGAGAAGTGCAGGGGTTGGCAGAGGAGAGCTCAGAGGGAGGGGGTGAGCCCATCCTTTGGGTGGGCATTTGGGGAACGGAGCAGGTTGTGGCTCCTGGGGCTGGATGTGTGCCCTTGGAGCTGCCAGTCTTGCAGCAGCACTGCCCCACACCACCTCCTGCATCTGCCAACCCTACTCACGTATCTCCTGGCGCTCTCTCTCCATTATTGCTTACATAAGATAGCACACTGTCACCACTGTCGTTGGTCTTAGCTGACAGCTAACTAAAAGTATGCTGAGACTGGACTTTAAAACAGGCTGTAATGAAAAATGAGCTGTTTCGTAAGAGGCTTTTTGGGTTGGCATCATAAATGCAGCCAATAAAATGCTTGGGAAGTTGGGTGAAATGAGAAAAGAACATGAACCTGCCACGCATGTGCTGACATGGGTCAGAGTGAAAGCAAGGTAAGAAGATTCAGATCTCTTGTTATTTCAAAGAATGAAGTGTTTCTATGGATGGGAGCCCAGCACATTTCTGAGGGGACCAGGGCTCAGGAAGATGGTGGCTTAATGAATTTTGAGCTTATGATTGGATACAATGACCTTAAGGGTTTTTTTTCATAGAATCATAGAATCATTTACGTAGGAAAAGACCCATAAGACCCGCAGACCCAACTGCAGCCCACCCCACCAGCCACTGCCCACATCCCTCAGTGCCACATCTCCACAGCTCTGAACACCTCCAGGGATGGTGACTCCACCACCTCCCTGGGCAGCCCATTCTAGTGCATCACCACTCTTTCCAAGAAGAATTTTTTCCTAATATCCAGCCTGACATGATCCTTTCATTCTAAGGTGCTGCCAAAGTGCAGCACGACCACTGCCCCTTACTCTCTATGGCCTGGAGCAGTGAGCAGTGAGCTAAGGATCCATTATCTGCTTCCACAACTTCATGCCCTGATAACACCACTCCTTTCCAAACTTATTGCTCACCTTCTTCCTCAGTGTCTTCACTCTGGCAGCCCTGCCTGGAGGGAGTGTGCTGGAGAAGCAAATGAATGCCAAAGGAAGGGCTTTTCCTTCCAGATGATGGATTAATTTGGGGGGGAAAAAAACACAACAAAAAGGATTTGTTTGGAAATCCATTGCTCTCACTACACAGACTGAGCTACTTTTTACTGCTCTTAAGATGCCTAGAACTGATTGAAGCCCGACACAAATGGACATCAATGGTCTCCCTCAGAGGCCCCCAGAAGCAGCAGCTCCATGTTCCAGTCTGTGCAACCTCCTCGCCCTGGCTCTACTGCTCTCATATCAGTGCTAATGTGGGAGCAGCCCGGTTGCTAACGACTCGGATGGAAAGAGCCAGAGCCTAATTTATTAGATGGACACGACAGCTGCTTGGGGAGCCGTAAAAAGAAGCGGAGATCCTTGCAGAGCCCATCAAACTGCTCTCCGCTGATTAATGACACCGAGGCGTGACGCCGCCAAGAGCGGGGAGACGCACAGTGAATCTGGCTGGAGTAAATATTTGGAAAGGACGAGGAGTAAGGACGCTCTGTGAGCTCTTTCTGTCCACACAGTGCTATTTGGAGGTGTATTTTGTGTTTCTGAGGGCCAAATCCAAACCTTCTGACTTCATTGGAAAGGGTCATCCATTGCTGGAGACCAACAGGCTCTGGCTGAGTCTTGGGAATGTTGGGTCGTGAATTTGCCCTCTTTGTACTGAGATTCACCCCCTTCTCCCATTTGGAGGGTTGGAGCAGCTCTAAATTTATCACCCAAAGCAGGAGACCCCAACCTGCCCATTTCATCTGGATATACACGGGCACACGGGGGGAGATAGCCCTCTACGTGCAGTGCCTACATCTCTGTAGAAATAAAAAGGAGCAGAAAAACCCCACAGTTTCTATCGAGGGAACCAAATAGCCACACACCACGTTCCTCAGTACAACACCCCAGAGCCAGGAGTGTGGTCCAATGGTAAAGCTGGCTCCTAAATCTTATTTCTCTTGCAAAAAAAAATAAACAAATAAGCAAATAAAACAGCCGGGGATTGTCTAGAGCATGCGGCTTCCCTAGTGATTAGTTGCAATAACATCTACTGCCAAGTAATCCAAGCTTTACAACCACCAATTGTCAAGTGCAAAGACAATATTTGCTCTTCTCTCAGCTCAGGCACACGTGGGATTTGGCGGATCCTGAGCTCTGTGCAAGCCCTGCCTTGCTCAACTGCACAGGGAGAGGCTCCGGGGGAAGGCATGTGGCTGCCATGCGGCGCAGGTGCACTGCAGAATGAAGAAGGAGTTTTGGTGGGGGTCAGACCTCAGCGTATAAGGTAAGGTCTTCACTCCTGGGAAGCACTTCTGCTTGCAATATCTGGTGCATGCTGCAAGCAGCCATCCCACTCCTGCAGGCAGACCAGCTGCATGGCTGGGTCTTCGCTTTCACTTTCTCTGTGCGCTGCCTGAGGCTCTGACCACGATCTCCCGGAGGCAGCTTCAGATTCATTCTGTCTTCCCAACCCCACAGACATGTGCAAACACTCCTCCCACACACCCACAGCTCCCTATCAGCGACACTCCTCTCCTATTTTTCTTCTGATAATCTTATCTCTGCTGACCACTCCTTGACTGTGTTTGGGCACAGAACCACCTCACCCCTCATAAAATCGACTCGCTTCGTGTCTCCTAGACCTTGATCCCACATAGCTTTCCAACCTGTTCTATCCTCTGGCTCTTCCCCATCTTGCTGCTGATGTTCTTCCAGGCACTTTTTCCAAGTTAGAATGCAATCCCGTGAAACCCAGGTAAAACACAGCCTTGGATGCACAAAGCCCGGAACCAAAGTGCTGAGGACCCCACTTGCTCCAGGTGTTTCTCACTACTTGCCCTTCATCCTGCTGCTTCTTTACCACATATCTCTTCCAAGGCACCATCCCTCCTTGCACAGCACCCAGTACTGGAAACACCCCCTGATTTTCCTGATTGGTCTGGTGGCCCCGACACATCATGAATGCTCAATGCTTTGCTTGCCAGCATCAAGCCATGCTGTCTTCAGGATAAATGCCACTGATTCGATGCATCTTCTATTGTGGCCAACATTTCAACAGAGACTCCTAATCTCTTCCAACAGGATGCAGGAGCACAACAACTCCTGCGTCTCCTGTCTTCTGAAAAGCACTCTCCTCAACAAATTCCTTCAGTTCCTTTGAAGAATAGAACAACGCTTGCCCTGGCATTGTTGGGACCTCAGACCCCAAGGCAAGGCTTCATTCCTCTCCTGCAGAAGACCCCCTGACAGTCTGGAGAGGGGAGATCTACCTACTCTCAGCTTCTTTCAACTGACACTGGTGACAGTAACCCTCTGTTGTCCTTCTGGCTCCTCTCCCACTCAACACAGGGTCAATACCTCCTGCCGCTTGCTCCCCAGTGCCTCCCAGCTGAAACCAGCACAGCTCAGCTAAAGAACAGGATATTTAGAGAGCCCTCCTCCTTGGCATGTTCCTGGGGACCCAGGACAAACAATTAGCTACCAATTAGATTAGTGCACAAAAGACAATTAAGACAATTAAGGCAAAAAGAGGCTGAACCATTTGTAGTTGGAAAGAGGCACTGCAAACAGATAATGACTCAAAAAGAACCCTAATTTTGGGCAAGGTGGTTGGCATGCTGTTGGAAGGCATTTTGCACCCTGTTATCTTTCTTTGAGGCAATGAGAAGCCAAATTCTGAAGGGCTTCAAGCACCCCCATGTTCCACACAGAGAAACAGGGGCAGAGATCAGGTTGCTCCAGAGAGGGGATACAAGGCAGACACCCCATGGGCTGCACCAAGTAGTGCTGCTCAGTATCACAGCAGGGAGCCCCAGAGCTATTGCAGTCTGGTCATTGATTCCTATGCACAACACACAGTAACTTCCACAGAGCCAACCAGGAACTGCCCCCAGCCATGTCCCAGTGGGGCACAGCACTCAGCTGGGATTGCATGCCAGCACCTCAGCCACAGAGCATCTCCTCCTGCATCCCAGCAGGGATGCCACAGAGCTGCCACCCCATCCTGCCTTTCAAATCCCCGCAGCGTGCTCAAACCCACTGCTTCCCACCAGAAGTATTCCCTCTGCATTGACCACAGTGCTGGGAAGTAGCAGGGGGGACCTCGCTGGGACATTCCGTCCTTCTGCCCTCCTACATAACCCAGACACAAACTTTCCCCAACACACTGCCTGCAGCACACCAAGGGCTTATTGTGCAGATAGGATGTTTACTGCACACCTTGTCCTTCATCTCAAAACAGCTTCCCAGATCTAGAAGTTCCATCCTGATGCTTTTGTTTTCTGCCCCTTTTTGGGGAACTGAGAGCACTGGCAGCCTCCACTTTCTTTACTGCCTTGAAGCAGGGTTTGTTTTTTTAAGGCACGCATATTTTTAAAACAAACCTTGCAGTGCAGGAAGAGCGAGCAGCTCAGGAAAGACATCACCTGTCACTTTATACACATCTGATCTTAAAAGCAGGAGCTTTTCCCCAACGCATGGCTCCATCCAGACAGTGCACATCACCCCTCTGATGTGCAATGACAAACCCCTGCACGCTAATGGTATGGGAATGCTTTGCAGCTTTACCCACTGGAGCAGCCTGAAGGACACTGGGACACTTTCTGTCCCCTGTCCCATCACACATCAGAGGTTCCACACTATGTTCTGTTATATGGGTCTTTCCAGCCAGCAAGGGCAATTGTGTCACCTGCTCAGACAGCAGCAGCAGGGACTTAGGGATGCAGGACTGGAAGGACCAGCTCCTTGTGTGCTGCTGGCATGCTTGCCTGTGACCCCAAAACATCAGCACTTGACAGCAAACCAAACTCCTCCCCGCTCCAGCCCTCGTTCTCCGGTTTACTAAAGCTGCTCTAATCCAAAAAGCACTGCAGACGTGTGCTCAGTGATGCTGCTAGGGAAGCACACCCAGGGATGGGTCCCCCACCAGGACCCCAACATTGCACCCCACTGCCTCAAGTGCTACGAAACAACATGAGAGAAACCCACAGCCATCTCCACCGCTCCCAAAGCTGCCCCGCTCCCCGCCAAGAATGGACGCAGTCCTGGGGCAGCATTTTGCTTTCGCACCAGGATGTGGTTAATCATTCCCCAGCAGCAGCACGCCGTGTACAGGACGCAGCACATCGTGCTGCTTTCACCGAGCCCTGGTGCTCTGCAACCTCATCTGGGGCCGGGGTGCAGGATTTGCTCTCTGCCCCTTTTTTATCAGCCTTGGTCTCAGCACTGGTACCGCATCTGTGCCAGCCTCCTCCTCGCGCATCGCCGCTCCTTACCTTGATGTTGCAGAAGATACCACGGGAGCAGGTGCTGGAGCTTTTGGGGGCATCCACTGGGGACTTGGCAGCTTCGGGATGGACCCCCATGGTGCACCCCAACAGACACGCTCGTGAGGGCTCCGGCCCGTCCTGCTCCGAAAACGGTGAGCCGATGAGTGAGCCAGGCAGCGTGAGCACAAAGTTTTTATAAGTCCACACTCGGGAGCGATGATGAAACCCTTTCTCCTCCCTCTTTTCCTTTGGGTGTAGAGGGAACTTTAAAGCTGCAGGAAGCCAGCGCGGGCGTGCGGTGAGCCGGTGGGAGCCCATCGGGTCTGGGTGTTTTGGGGATGGGGACTGCAGGAGAGATCCCTCCCTCCGGCAAGGAGTCACAGAGTGAAAATTAACCCAACCTCCTCCCGCCCTTCTTGCGTGGAAGAATGGCGTTTGTGTGATTCCTGGGAGCTGTTTTAAGGAATAGATCTCCAGGGCTTTGTTTATGCAGAGCACTGATTTATTGTTGCAAAGGAGAAAAAGTGTCAGAGGGAGAAGGGCTGGGGGAGGGGGGAGAAGTTGGCTTCAGGCGCTTCATCAGAATTATTTTCCCTATGTAAAGTGAGGAGAGAGTGAGCCAGATAGGTTCTCCAGAGCCTGGAGACCCCAAATCCCAGCTCCTGGAACAGTGTTGGGGGGCCTACACTGGTGGGTCCTGAGGAGGGGGAGTCCCTGCCCAAGCATGTGGCAATGGTAGAGCAGTGTCAGGGTGGGTGTGACCTCTTTCCACGGGTACAGGTTCCCCAAACAGAGGGGTTCCTGGCAAAGGAGGGCAGAGGAGGTTGGAGGAGACCCAGAAGCACCCAGTGCCACCCACAGGTGCCCGCTGGCCACGAGAGGGGGCCTGATACCATGGGAGAGGGACCTGCGGGCTGCCCTCAGCTGCAGAGCTGTGGGGAAATCAGTACTGATATGGGATAACTCTTTGGGGTGCTGTCTTCCCCATGCCCTGCGAGCACTATATGCAGGGACACGTGGGTACTCCCAGTCTGCAGTACAGCAATCATCTTGCTTCCCCACCTCCCTTTCTCCCCAACTGCCACCATTCCCAGATTTACTGGCTCTGAACTCAGCCCCCTCATCCACCTCTCCTCCCACCCCAATAGATGCGATGGCTATGAAGTTTCAGCATCACAGCAAAGAAAGAAAGCCCAGCTCTGTGACACTCACAGGCCTCCACTCACCACCTCATCACCCCATGTGCTGCCAAAGCCGTTTTCCAAGGGACACCTGACCTATTGGCAAGCAGCTCCAGCACTTCAGTTTGTCCTGCACAGATGCGTGATGCTCACTTTGCTATAACAACCTCATCTTATGCACGTTCCCCTCCAAGCAGAGGGATACTGTCATGGCCATTCCCCTACAGTGCCCCCAAAGATGTGTGCTCAGCCCCTGCCCAGCCCACCCAGCACCACAGGGCACCATCATGCTCCCAGCCTCTCTCTCACTGAAAGGGAAACTCCAGCTGTGATCCCCTTTTGCCTTTCTCTGAGGAGAAAACAAGGCTTGTGCCTCTGTTTGGGGATTCTGCACTGTGTTTTATCTCTTCCAATGTTACAGCTTTGGCTGCTGATGAGTGCACAGAAGGACTGTGATTTATGGCGCTGAGAAGGGGAGGGAGCTTGGCTGCAGATCCTCATCTTGGTGCTTCATTAGGCGATATTTCTGATGTCCTGGGTCTGGCAGGAGAAGCCCTGTGCTGGCAGATTCAGTCCATTTTATGCAGCTACCGGGGTCAATTTTCTTCTTTGGCCTTTGGGATAGGTTCCCAGGGCCAGAGGAGTGCAAGGCCAAAGCATAAACTGGGAGGAGACCTCAATGCCACTGTGGGGCTTTTTATCACCCCTCACCCTCCCCCCCGGCCATGTACATCGTTCACTGGGGGGATGGTCACCTTGCTTGCATCAGAGCCTCAAGACCTGTGCCCTCTCTGCAGGAAAAAATGGGTCAAACGCTTTCAGACTGACCATAGTTTTTCTCTGTCCCTGCATCAGCCACCCCATTTCTCTCTATCAAGCGTGGGGTGATGCTTTAATGCAAAGCCCAGAATCTCTCTGCTTTTCTACCTGTGTTCCATCTGGGATGAACTGAAGGCCACATCTCAGTGCTCATCCATGCATCTACAGCCCGTTCCTCTCAATTTGCCCACTGGCCTTTAGGAGACAGTGGTTCCCTCACACACCAACACATACCCACCATCAACATTCAACTTTACAGACCATCCTGACCTAAAGGGAAACTTGTACTGAAAGCAGAGGTGCTGCTCTTTGTACTGGTCAGTGGTGCAAGGGGAAGTGAGGACAGGGACACCGAGAGAGACATGCTGTGACGGGATGTCCTTGGGAGGCTCTGCAAGAGAGAGGAGGGAGAAAAGCCCATGTCCTCCCAGCTGTGCCTGAGGTTTCACTGGAAATTACAGACTGAGAGGTTGGGTTTAATTTCCCAGCAGGTTGTGTTTGATCTGAAGCAGAAAGACCGGTCAGAGGGATGCTCAGCCGCACCAGGCGAACAGGCTTGGCTGATTCACAGGCCAACCTGCCCTGGGGCTGACAGCATGCCAACAGCTCTGGGGACAAGGGATGGCTGGGTCCCAGTGCAGGAGGTGATGCTGCTCAGCCCACAGCCACCGCCCGGGGATTAGGAGTGAGGTCAGGGCTGGGTGAAAGCGGAGATGGAGCCTGCAGCACAGCTGTGCGTCAGCACCAAACCAGCCCTCCCGTGGCTGACTCAAAGCAGAGGACATCTGAACGAATAACGCAGTTTAGAGACTCTCCCACCCCTGCTCTCCATCCTGCACAAAACCCATCCCATGGGGCCACATGACGGCAGGGCAATGGCAGAAGCAAGGCATGTTCTGGAGGCACAGTGAGGAAGCAGAAGGCAGTGACTGGATTATTTCAGCCAGCTGGGCCAGCCACCCCTTCCGCCTCCCCCTTGGGAGATGCCATCCTTTAGGTGTCGTGTTCAGAGTCTTTTTGCTCAGCACATTTCAGAGAAGAAGTATTGATGAGGGACAGACTGTGTTGTGACCGGATAAGTGGAAATGGTTTCAAACTAAAAGAGGGAAGATTTAAACTGGATATAAGGAAGAAGTTTGTTGTTGTTTTTTTACAGTGAGAATATGAGGCATTGGTACAGGTTGCCCAGAGAGGAGTTGGATGTCCCTTTGCTGGAAATGCCCAAGATCAGGCTTGACAGGGCTCTGAGCACCTGATGGAGCTGTAGGTGCTCTTGTTCATTGCAGGGGGTTGGACCGGTGTCCCTTCCAACTCAAAGAATTCTATGGTTCAATGGTTGGTGAAGGAAAGATGTGAGAGACTGAAATTAAAATCCCCTCTAGATTCTGACATGGCTGAATAAACTCACCTTGAACAAACAGGAATAAATGCAAGGATGGAAGGTGATGTGCATTGCTCTGAGCAACGTGGGTGCTGCCAATAGCAGGGGCCAGCATGCAACAGCAAGATCCCCATGCCCTTCGTGCCCTGCTGGTGCTCTTGGAGTGTGGTTCTCAAAATACTCAGGTGTTTGTAGTTGGGCCAGAGCCTTTGCTGCAGGATGTGTTCTGCAAGCCCAGAACAAAGAGTCCCTGCCACAAAGGATTCACAATCTGAAGCATCAGTATCCTGTAGTAAGAGCAATTAGAGGAGGCAGACAAGGATCTGATGGTGCCATTCAAAGAAGGGCTGTATTTCCTTGAAACTGCTTCAAGAGAGCATGATGAGACAGTAACTTAGCTCTGCCTGCTGCCAATGAACTTCACAGTCACTAAAAAGTCGGGAACAGTGCCCCTAAGCAAGGCTAATAAAGGTAGAGAGCGTCACATTTTCGTAGCTTTGCTAAACCATGCTTTATCCACAAACCCAGGGGCAACAGGATGCCCGAGTAGGAACAGGCTCAGAAACCCTCAGCTGTGTCCTGGGAATACTTCAGACTGTAGAGGAAAAGCACTGAGAAACAGCATCCTAAAGGCCTTGGAGAGAAGGATTTTCCTTCATCCTGATGAGAGCCACGTGCCCAGCCCTCCACATCCCACTGCAAATCTTCACCTTCTTGAAAGGCTGTTGGATACATTGACTTTTTTTTACCTCAGAAATGGTTCTAACTAGCTGCTCTGCTCCCTCTAAAAGACCTCAGTGCACTCACACAGCCAACACCATCTCAATGAAAATTAATAACAATTCAGCAGGAGAAAGCTGTAATGAAAATTACCCTGGTACCTGAAAGGAGCCATCCAAGCGCTGCGCAATGGCCAGGGCTCTGCTTTGATCCCTCCTGAAGCCGTGGGAAGAACAGTTAAACCACAGCTCTGCGATGTTTGTCCGCTTCCCTCTGGAAGGGGCTGCATTTAATAAAAAGCGGATAAAAGAGGGTGAATTCCACACATCCCATTCCTAACATCATACCAATGCTCATACCACTGCGAGGCCTGAAGCTCTGGGCACTGTTAAGTATGGAGCCGTGTAGCAAAGAAATTGAAAACGGTTAAATCCCCACTAATTTACAGCAAAATATTTTCATTATACTACTTACCAACTTTTTCAATAGCAATGGCAGCCAACTGAACTGAGTTGCATGATCTTCCAACGTATACTTTCAGCTATGTGGAATTTTCATAAAACCTCCTTGTTTGGTTCGAAACTTTCTGAATTTCCCTCTGCCAGAGCAATACTGAGTGAGTGTGCACGCGTTGTTTGTCTGTTGTGGTGCTAGGGCTGGTTCACTGAATAAAACAGCTTGAGTTCCAATAAGCAGCAAACCGAAAGAAGGCCAGAAAGGCCGTTGTCATCGTGCTGGATGCAAGCAGCAGCCATGAGTAAGAGTTTGGGATTTGGCAGTCACCGGTCCTGCTGACACACGTTTTTCACAGCTCTGCTGGAATTCGTTTTGACAAACTCCTTTTCGTGCATCCAAAAGAGTTCAGAACTTCACGCTCCCATCCATCCCCCTCTAGAGATGTCCCTTTCTCCCTCTCTCTCATCCCTCTCACAGGGCTTTACTGTTGACCTGCAGCCCTGTTCCCTGGCACAGAGGTTCTTTAGTGTCCTCCTACCCCAAATAATGTTGCTCAATCCATCCACCAGATTGGCTTTCCTAGGCCCAATCATCACCTGGGGCTTACTTTTGCAGCTAAAAGCCCCTGACAAAGAGGAATGCTCAGCCACATGTAGTGCTGGCCACTGGGAGGGCTGGCAGTTCTCAAGCTGGAAATAGGATATAGATGCAGGATGAGATCTGCAGCGCCTGTGGTACAGAAAGTGCTGTTCAGAGGGGCTGGAATAAAAACAAGAGTGTTTTCCATCACAACAAGATTTTTGCCTAATGCTGAAGGTGTAGCAGACAGGGCTTGGTTTGAGTTGGCCATCTCAACATGAGGCATCACAAGTCAAAGTCTATTTGTTTTCCTTGGAACACACAAGTCAAACTGGAACAATGGCTGGAACTGACATTTTGCAAGGGAAGATTTTGTTTCATCTTGAAGTCTGAAGCACCTTGAAATACTTTCCGATGGAAACGACGTTTTGTTTTCGCTGAAGCACATTGGAATCTCTCTGTCACTGTTTCCATCCTTCCCTGGCTGCTCCCACTTGGGCAGGGGGGACCTGAGGAGCCCACAGACATCAGCATGGCATGGGGCGCGCGAGGGACAGAGAGCTATCCTGCAGTCATGCCAGGGGTGAGACTGAACCATGGGCACAGAACACAAAAACATACTTTTAGATGGGCAAAACCCAGCAGGATCCCAGCCCACGGCAGGGGTTGGGATTGGAAGGGCTGTGAGGTCTCTTCCAACCCAACCATTCTATGACCCTGGGTGCTCTTAAGAAGAGGCTACTCCGAGTCTTTCCTCAAAATCATGCTTAACACCATGGATTAAATTGCCTCAAGAAGAGCCCACTAGAAAACATACGTTTGCTCTCGGTGATATGCATAGCTTCTCCAAGAAGAATTGTGATTGATTCACGTAAACGTGAAAGCGGGGCATCAAGAAATAAGTATACAGTTTGAAAAGAGCTGTCAGCTCTGATGACATCCACAGATTGCCTTTACATTTCACTGGTGTTGCTTCAGAGCCATCCCATCAGACAATGGGCTGATTTCTTTCCGAGTACGTTTCTGCTCCACAGCTAATTAGCTTCACCCCAAAACTAGGAGATTAACAAAGAAAGATGCTTTAATGGATTACTCTAACCAAAAAGAAATCCTTCCCAAGACAGACACTGTGTCCTTGATGGGGCAGGAATTTCCTACCTTAGAAATCCACTGTTTTGAATTGGGAATGTTTTCCCAGATTGTACCTGACAACCATGATTTGTGTTAGCTAAAGGAGCCAGGCTGGCTGCACAGCAGGCCCACTCCAGCTCCAACATCCCAACACCGAGCCAAGGGCATGAGGAACCTTAAGGGAATAGGCTGCAAAATGTGAAATATGTGATTTGCAGGACGTTAGTGGCCTTCAGAGGATTGTCCAAGAGCAATCATGTCAAGAGCAAGCTGGCTGCTCAAGGAGCAAGCTCCCTACTGTCCCTCAGAGCAAAAGAAAAGGGGATGCTGTTGATCTGCCATGGAGAACCACAGCCACAGGGGTGTGATGGCAGAAGTCAAGGCTCTTACAAGGAAGGCTTGGTCAGCACTCTGGATTGTGAATTCCTACAGTTCCCTTCTTTCTTCAGCTCTCCTCAAGGACCTGATTTTAAAGAAGAACAGAGTGGGTTGGTCAGTGCCCAGGAAATCCCTGGTAAGGATGATGGAAAACTGCATGGACAGTTATGAACTTTTTCAGATCAGGTGTGGAGCCCTCCACAAACTGCTGGAGGCACTGTGTCAGTGGGGAATGCCAAGCCAGCCTTTCTGGAGATCTGTCCTCTCAACAAGGGTCCACCTCTGTGCAGATCCACTCCTCCAGGACACCCAGGGGATGAGCAGCCCCACACCCTTGTGCCACCCTAAGCACCATGACAGGATAAGCTGACTCATGCTGAATGGCACATTATCCTTATCTTTGCAAGGGCATTAACTTCAGCCAGGGATCATTTCCTCAGTGCCTGTTCCTGTTGTTTGACTCCTGGCTTTGCTTTTGGTTCGGGTCACACCAATAAGAAACGTTAGGCCGCTTCTGGGAACTGCTGCCTGAATTGCATCCATCTGTGTTGTCTGCAACTCAGCACTCTTCTGAGAGGCTGTCCTGACTGGAAAAACTCCCTGCTGCTATATGGGAAGAGGAACAGGTCACAGCTCCTGTGCCATCCCTCTCCTTTGGGAAACCACTGCAGGAGACAAAGCCATCGTCCCACCACGGCACCATGTAACAGACAACACCTTTCCTCACCCGCCTTCGTGGCTGCTCGCTCCTACTCTAAAACAGGACACAATGAGCCTGCAAAGACAAAAATAGCGAGTTAAATTTAGGTGGGATAGACTGAAAGGCACCATGGACACTTTGGTGTCCAGCGGCAGCACGCTGCAGCCGGGAGGAAACAAACAAAGCAGGGAAGCAGCAGCCAGGCCAGCTGCGGGATGCAGTTTCTGAGACGGCAGCCAAGGAAAGAAGCTGTTATGATGTCTGTCCCTTGGAGACTCGCTGGACAATGACTGACTCACAGCTTATAGGCAGTATCTCTGGGCTTCGAGCATCTCCCCTGCTAGAGAGAGAGCTGAGCAGTGCTAACATAGTTGGGCTAGGTGGAGCCCAGTAACAGTTCCTTTCCATCATGACTCAGACTAGAAGGATATCTCCTCCCATCCCCAGAGCCCTTGTGTTTGGGGTCTTCCAAGGACCCAAGATGCTCTCTTTGGTATTTACAGATGCCAGCAGAGGCATATGGCTCTGGGAAACCCGTTTCCTTTCCTGGGCCCACTAGGAGGTTGGTGTCCCATGAGCAGCACAGTCTGGAGGCAAAGGGAACAGCAGCAGTAGGAGGGGAAGATGGAGATGCCATGAGAAGTTGGACTGAGCAGCGCCTATCTGCTTCCACAACAGCAGCACACATCGCACTCAGCCCCTCCAAGTAGCAGGAACGAAGGGGTTCCTAACTCACCTCAGAATTAAGGGAAAAATCAATTCCTGCAGAGGTTGCTGGGGCAGGCTGCCGAGGGACAGACAACATCACCTCAATACCCTCCTCTCTGTTTCAGCAGAAACATCAGCTCCAGCAGGTCCGTGACCTGTCAGATGCTTGAGCCAAAAGGTCAGTGCTGACCCTGACTCACTGCTGGCTTGCTGCACGCCCCACGCCTCTCACACAAACACAGCCTGGCCCTGCAACACTCCACACGCATGGCTGAGCCCAGCACAGCCCCCAGTGCTGCCCAGCGGAGCTTTGGGGCTGGTGGCACCCAGGACACAGATCCACCTTCAAAGAAAGAGCTGCAGGACACGGATGGACAAAGCCTGACCTGTGCTAGGAACTATCATTGGTTAGGATTCAGCACACTGGCCTGACACTGCTGCTGTCCCTAAGAGTTATTTTAGGGAGAGCCAGGGGTGGCCACATCAGTCAGCTTGTTAATGGCTTTCTTTTTCAGACAGGTAAACTCTCAGAGAAGACGCAAAGGCTTCTGCCCCCTACAACACTAGACCTATTGTTAGCCCCAAGCACTGCCTGCTCCTGCTGCCTGCTCCCTTCTTCCCCTCTTGAAGAAGATATTGCTCCCCACGCACCGATGCCATGGCCTTTCCCTGCCTCCTCCAACCTGCAGACCTAAAACCAGCCCTCATCGTATCAGCACAGGCTTGGTTCAGCCAGGATATTTCACAAGAGAGTCCCAGCAGTACCGAAAACACAAGAAATCATTACATAAACAGCCTGCTGTTTTCATATTCAGCTGGAAGTTGGCCCAGGACACCTCATTTCGAAGTGCAGCCCTCCATCACCCAAGATAAGAGACTACGCCACTCACCATGCTGCATCCAACATCTTCCCCAGAGGAATCAGCCACGGGAACCCCATCTCTGGAAGAGAAAAGTTTGGCACAGCCACAGCATCACTGGAGTTGCTGCAGGATCCCATGCATCATTTCTCAGCTCGAGCTTGCAAGTGCTGCTGGAGGTGGCAAAGCCATGCTGCAGGTGAAAGGCGTGGAGACTTCTCTGTGGTCTGATTTACTCAAAGCTTGTATGAGATAATGTCCTTTTAAAATACAATTTCCCATTCATTGAAAAACGTATTCTAGCAAACCCAGTCCTTTTCCAGCTCCTTACCCCACTGGCCTGGGGCATAAGGTATCCCCCATTGGGTCTTCCACACTGCCATTTTCTGCAGCACTTCCATTAGATGCAACACTGATGGAGGGGGCACCTTCTCATAACACAGAGGAAAACAGGTCTGAAGAGGTACCCCCTGCCCACACTTTCATTCCTCAGTTAAATAGAAATGTGTTGGGCTCCGACACAACAGAGAACTGCGGAAATCCAAACACGAAGGCAGAACTTAAAGAAACCAACGTAAGCCTGAAGCCTGGAAAGAAGTACCCTGTTTTCAGTGAGGGAAAGAACGAAACATAAACCAATGGCCCAGAACTAGAACAAGTGAGGAATCAGAATCTGCCACCACGGTTGTATTCACATTGACTGTGCAGCCAGCCCGACAGACACCACTTTGTCCCCCAACGGGACCCCGGATGGCTTTCACAGCCCAAAGGGACACCTAGATCCCAGGCACCTCCCACACCAGTACTTCCTGCTCCTGCTTCCCAGCACTGGCTCTGGCCAGGAACGTGACTCCGGACCCGGTCTGGCCTGATCCTGCCCATGCCCTACTCAGCTGGTCCAGCACGACGTCAGCATTACGCAGGCTGGAGAACACACAGGAGAGCAGAGGCGTTCACTCCTGATGGGAGATGGAGCGATAGGGATGTCGCTGTGTATTTTGGCTGCCTTGCACACCAGGCAATCACACCCCACTGCTCATTTCTCTCCTGGCTTGAGGTTTGCCCAATTTCAGCTTCTGGAAGAAAAATCCGCTCATACCAGGCTGCTCTCTGGACTGTGGGGGGATCAGCTCCCCATCCTTCCCCCATCCACCAAGCACCTTGGGGACAGGAGGGCACACAGGAGCAATAAATGCCCGTGTGGTCTCAGTAGGCTCTGGACTCACCTCTACCATCACTGGTGGTCACAGTGGCCATGGGCAACAGTCGCATCCCAAAGAGCCACCACAGCAAGTGAAGGACTGGAAACAATCCCAGCCTTTTATTTTTTACTTTTACTTATTAATTAAGGGAAAATTAAAACACATCACGGAGACAGATTATTTTAAACACACTGCAGCCTGCCATGCCAAGACAGGAAAGTCACCGCACAGCCCATGCAGTCTGGTGGTCCCTTTCTTTTCTGTAACGGATGGAAGCAAGCATGATGCCGGCAGGATATTTTCCCTGCCTCATTGTTTTCAAGCTTTTTCAGAAGTGAGTTTCCATGCAGCTAATAAAGGGGCAGGTTGGCATCATCTTAATGAAAACTAATTAAATGTAATTTAGCCTGACGAAAATATTTGTGCTCCACAGGGAACACCCTGTAGCTGGCTACTAAGAGGCAGGAAGAAAGTACTTCTTACAGTAACAGGCTTTATTTCACACTGGTTACTCTAGAGCTTCCCATCAAGGCTTGTCATGGCAAAGAGCCTACTTAACCAATTTGATTCTTGAATTCCTCCCCCAAGTTTCACTGGCTTTGGTGTGAGGATATCGGCAAACAAGGAGTGCAGCATCCATCCATCCCCCAGGGCTTTGGTGGTGCTGTGTTTTCCGACATGTGAGCATCAGGTGATGGGCAGCCAAGTGGAAAGCCAGAAAAGTTATCAGATCCTGGTAGGAAATGCTTCCATGGGGATGAATCCTCTTTAAACAGACAAAACTCAGAAACGTAACGTTTTTCCCGCTCTTGCTTAGTCCTCACCTTTTGTTTTGTTCCTGAAAGCTGCTGGATTTGAGGAAGTATCCTAAGAACAGGATAGTTCCTCCCCAAAAGATGACCTGTATTTAAAAAAGCAATCCAAAAGCACGCAGACATGCAAACAAGCCACGATGGAGTCATTTGACTGAATTAATAAGATTTATCAGACGATCTCAGTTTACAGGGAAGGCCATTTCTTAGAAGCAAACTGCCTGCTTGAGAAACAAAGAAGCTGTTCTGGTGTTAGGGGGGTTAAGCAGCCCAATTTCCAACGGATCCATGCTTGTGTATGTTACTTTCCTCCTCTGTCCCCAGCACTGTCCAAATCTCCCCATTATGCCCAGTTGTGGGGCCAAGGCAGTGAGCTGGGCAGCAAACAGGGGGCAGATCCTGCTCACCTCTCCCTTCTCCGTTTGCTTCTTGACCTTGGGTTTGAGCCTAACTATTCCTGAGCCATTTGCAATGCTGTCCAGGGGATCACTGGGGGGCAATGGGCTTTTGCAGGAGGAATGAAGAGTTTACACACTGCATGACACAAAGTACCAAAGAAACATGCTCAGCTCTTTGTCTGGGTTAACACAGTGGCACAAATCTTCCTCGCAGAGGATGTGCATGGCCTCAGGGTGTTTCCCCATGGCTTCCCCCATGATGGCAGCTGTACACATGCAAAACCTCATCTTTCTCAACTGCTGTTTGGAACAAGAGAAAAACATGCCTCCTCCTTTCCTCCTCTTCTTCCTCTCGCTAATTACCGCTCCCAGGTCTTTCAGCTTATTAACATCCGTGCTTATTGGCTGCTGGATAAGCTTCTGCAAAACCTTGGCGTTGGCTTGCAGCCATGTGTATGGGCTGGAGGTGATACTGAAGGTCCCCCCAGGGCAGAAGCGATTCGCATTGCTGAAGGATGAGATGGTCTCCTCCTTGCAAGGCACGAGGCCAGGACCCCCTTGAAGGCACTGTGTGCCCTCCAATCCCCACCACGTCACTGCTGGATGCAGAAAAGACACAGTGGAGTGCCAACTGCTGGGGCTTTAATCCAGATGGGGCCCTACTGGGAGGCCATAGCCTCAAAAGGCAAGGGAGATCTCAAGCTGACGCTGAGTTCCTCAAAGAGGAGCTCAGTGCCACCAGCCCCTGGCCACCAGAGAGAAGGTGCCTGCCAGCAAAACTCTGAGAGAAAGCCAAATTCTGTTAAGATCACACTGCTCAGTAGTGGAAATGATAAATAGTGCAGCCATCTTCAAGACAAGACTGCTCAGCTCAAACCTAGGCCAGGGGGTATTTTGGAGAGGGGGTGGTCCAGGATCTTCCCAGCCCCGGAGAGCTTCCAGCCATTCAGACCCTACAAGGCTCCAGGCAGTATCAAAAGACAAGCCAAGAAAACAATCCAAAGATCCCACTTCTTAAAGGGACAGAAGGACAAAGAACTGACAGACCTTCAAGAGGAGACACGTTAACAGGATACAAAGACAATCTCTAAATAAACCAAACCAGAGCAGCCAAGTAGCACAAGAGCTGGGGAGAGAACAGGGAATGGCCTTGGGTTCTTGGGAGGAGCACATTTGAAAGGAGTGTAGCACAAGCAGGAGGACCTGGACTGATCTTTTATGGTTCTTTTCCAGGCAACTTTGTGGTCCCATAACAGTGCAGTCAGGAAAAGAGGGGCCAACGTGGTGCTGAAGATGAATAACTGCCAAAACAATCCTTCCATTGCACTTTTTGGGAGAGCTTCTGACACACTCGCTTACAGTAATTTCCTCTAATCTGCTAATTGCGCTGAGAAATTCCACGAAATGTTTTCTGAGCAGTCAGAAGGGGTGGTAGGGTTGGGCAGCTGGAGCGCATCCTACACACAAGCGCTCATCCTCCTCAGCACGTGTGGAAGCCTGGCACGGGCACGACAGCCGTACCGTGGATTGGAACTGGTTGGTTGTGGGCAGGGAACGAGAGAAGTGAAATTCTGATGAATATTAGCTAGGAAATGCTGCTTTTTGCCACTGATCCCCAGGAGTGAGAGTCAGCGCGTGGGCAGGAAGGTATCGCAACAACAAGAGGATGCTGTGGGTTCACCTTGTCTTTCCTATGGCTAGAGACTGAGCACGCTGTTTTTTTCTGTAATATTAAGAAACCTCTTCAAAAGAACAAGGCATTTCATTAGTGATCACTGGCATTTTCTACATCCATGAACAAAAACTGGCATTACAGCTCAAACCCTCCAGATCAGAATTTCAGGCGAGAGGAACTCCCCGCATACTTCTGGATGTCTCATTTGTCGGGGGAGGGCTGACGCATGGCCTTTGACTAATTGCACAGAGGAATCCAGCTGCCTCCAGAAAAACTCACTGAGGCACAACTTCTCCTATTTCCCTTCCTCCACACCAAGAAATAGCTGAAAACTCAAATAGTTTGCTAAAACCCTTCCCCGGTGGACACCATCCAATTTTCAATTTCCAAGACCTCAAAAATATGCGGTCAGGAAGGAACACGGATCAATGCCAGTGGTGCTAACATAACGCAAAGGCAACCCGAATCAAGACATTAAGGAATTTGCTCGAATGGCTGCTAGTATTATTTCACACAATCAAGGGGTGGAGGCAAAAGAAAAGAAAAATTACTCATTTTGTGATTCCGCTTCTCTGAGCCCTTTGACCCTCTTGGCTGTGGGGTTCCAGCTCTACACACGGAGCCAAAATGGCTTTAAGGGTTTCTACTTCCTAGGTATGACAAAGGCTGGGCTTTGGGACAGCTTCAGCCAAGTGGCTTAGCTGAGCCAGGAAAGGAAAAAATTCCCTTCAAAGCTACTTATGGCGGCTCCTAGATTCCTCCTCCTTCGTCTCCTGTAGGATTGCTTTTTTTTTGAATGAGAAATATTGAAGGCCACTAGAGATGGTTGTGCCAGGGAATGGAGCAGGTGGTGTCAGAGGAGTCCTTCTGGCTGGTGACACGAGCAGCCCCTGGCTGGCTGCTGCCGAGCAGAGGACGAGTGTCATTTCCCTTGCGGGAAAGCTCAACTGCGTTCACCAAAGACCGCGAGCCACTTGGGAGCTGAAGTCCACCGCAGAGCAGACAGGATTTCCAGCTCAGGAGAACAATTACCATCAGGATGTGGTTTTTAAGGTCACAAGTTTGTAAGAAGCGCCGGTGGCTCAGCCTGGAAGCAGCGATCTCCATGCCAGAGAGTCCCCAGAGAGCCCTTTGCAAGCTCCAGAGTCAAATGGTGCAGCTTTGAGAGATGGACAGAGGAGCTGGACCACTCCTGCACGAAGGACGCTCTGCTTTCTTTGGAGCACCGTTGGCGTGCAGAATGCCGCTCGCATCCTTTGACACATGGAAGAGGGGTCAGCCTGCAGGATGGCCGGGGTGGTGCTTCCATGGCTTGCAGAGCTTGTTCTGTGGAAGCAAAGCAGCAGAGCTGGGCACACACTGGCCAACACCAACAGTGATCTGGGCATGGCTTCTAGGCAACATCCTGAAACGGTCTCATGAGGCAGGACAGTGACGTACAGGGCTGGTTCAACCCATGCCAGAACAGTTTCTTTAACGATATCTAATAAAGGAAGGGACAAAGCTGCACCTCCGCCCTGGGCCACCAGATGAGAACAAGAGGACAGCAGTGACCCAGCATCCAGCTCCCAGTATCAGCAGTCTCAGCTGGATGGAAGAGATGGAGAAGGACCAGAAAGGCAGGTGAGATGCTTCCAGGACACACACACTGACCCTTGACATAGGCAGCAGACACCGAGCAGCACTTCCCAGCAAGCTGGAGCTGTACAGTGGCATTCTCCACCCCATTAGGGATGCCACCCAGCAGGGCAGGCTTGGCTGTGAGTCAGCCAGCAGCTCGCAGGGCAGGGCCATGCTGTACAGGAGCAGCCTTCATGCTGCACTCCCCTCTTCGTGTCGTCGTCTTCTTCACCTCCCTCTCCCTCTGTGGTTTCGGTGCTATGTTTTTCTGGTACGTCTGCAAGCACGCGTATGCGGAGACTTGCCCATTCCTCCCCAAAAAGCCCCCTGAGCCATGGGATTGACGTCAGCAGCACGCCAGCTGTCAAACAATGGAGATTAAGGCTTGGCAGGCTGTGCAAAACCATGCAAGTGCCTGTGCCTCCCCAGGCAGGTGAGCAACATTCCCCTCTGAGCAGGAACAGGCACATTGCAGCAACCGGGCCGCCTGCACCTGGACACAAGACCTAACCTGATCCTCAGCACCGGCCAAGTCATGCCCAGGGGCAGACGGTGGGGCCCTGCAGTCCCCTGCACGCACAACCCAGGGACTGGGGCTCCACGTGGTGAGGACACCAAGGCCTCCTGCAATGGCTGCTAGTGGCAGAGCAGAGCTCTGGTGCTGGCTGAGTGCAGCCCCAGCCCACGCGAGGCCAGCCTGTGTGCTCAGAGGTGTATGGTGCTGAGAACAAGTCCAGGGCACCATGATTCTCTATTCTCAAGGCAGGGACAGAGGCAATGACATGTTACCTTTTGCAGAAGCATGGCACAGCTTTTCAGCCCTTGGGGTCTGCAGCAGGGCTTCTCCCTGGGCAGAGAAGACTGGAGAACATGGTGTCCTGTGTCGTTTGGTGTTTGGGGAGAAGCGTGCAGAGCAGATGGGCTGGTGCCAGCTCTGTGAGGCAGCTGGGGCCTTGAAACCATCTTTAACATGCAGGTGGCCCAGCACTGGAGCAGGCTGCGCAGAGAGTTTGTGCACCTCTTCCTTGGGGATCTTCAAAGCTTCTGGACACAGCACAGGAAAGCCTGCTCTGGGTGGCATGGCTGGAGAACAGGTGGGGCCAGAGGTGCCTCCAACCTCAGTCATTCTGTGAGTTCATGAAAATGAGGTGGCAGCTGCTCCTGGTCATCATGCAGAGCGGGACCACAGGATGGGCAAGCACATGAAGCTTCCCATTCCTCCTAAATGTGTCCTGCTGCCAGGACCTCTTTTTTCCCCAAAAACAAGGCAGCAAAGCCATAGAAGCAGAGGTAACCCAGCACAGCCTCTGCTAACTCTTCCCCTCACCATAGCCAGGTGCATCCAGCTCCCAGGCTGGGTTTGACATGCTCTTACCCAGAGCTGGCCATCCTCTGTCACATGGGCATGCAGCAATAGCCCCAGAACCAAAGCTGAACCCAAAATGAGAGCAGAGCACCACCATTTCTCTTGACCTTAACTCCTACCCAAACAAGCAAACACACAAGGGCACCTGAGGTCATGGAAGAAACATGATCCACTACGCCCAGATATAAAACAGAAGGATTTGACAGCTCCAACATAAACTACAAGTCCTGCTGGGCTCATGCCCTGCCGAATAGGGAAGATCTTTCAGCATCAGCTATCTGCTGAATAGCAGGGATGTCCGCAGGAAAGCACCTGGCTCCTCAGAGGCAAACACCCAGCCAGGAGCAAGGGCCCTTCCCAGGCTCACTCTGCCCAGCCCCAGAGATCAGAATGGCCTTGGAGATACCAGGTCCTGGTCGTGTCTGCCGAGCCCCACACTACAGCCCAGCCAAGGTGGGCTTCAGAAGACCAAGCTGCCCAGGGACAGCAGGCTGGAAGGGCAGCAGCTGCCCACAGGTTTCATCGACTCCTACACCCTGAGACCAGTCCACGATCCAACAGGATTTGCAAATCCCCAACCCAGCTCTCAGCAGCCAAACCTCCTGGCACACATTGCTCTCACCCAACCTTATCATAGGGCCAGGCCCAACACAGCTGGATGGGAGGGGAGCAGATGGCCCAATCGAGTCCTTCTCATTTGTTCTCCCTCAAGATACTTTCAGAGGAAAACTCTTGAGGTCATTTGTTCTATTTTCAACAAGCAGGGGTATCCAGCATGACATGCATTCACAGGGCTGTGCTGGAGGCAACCACTCAAGGAGAAAGATCTGACCAGTGGTGCACAGATGGAACAAGTCAGCTAAATGTTCCAGTAGTGACAGCTCACCTGCTGAAGCACAGTGATGGCAGTTTCAATTTCACCTAAGGTTTTGCACTCAAGATGCTCCCAAACCGGGCTGAGAAGTTCCTGATGGCATTTGCTAAGGCAACCAAGTTGAAGTAGTCAGACTGACTCCCAGTTTTTTGCTCCTCTTGCATCAAGATGCTTCCAGGCCCTCCTAGAATGGGCCACCACCACCACATCCAAGAGGTGTCCCAACAGCAGGAGGATGAAGCTGGTAGCACAGCCATAGCTGCTAGCTCCTCCTGTAGTAACAGAGATGGTGTAAAGAAGCACCATACATCTCCTAAGGTGCTTGTTTACCTACTACAGGAGCAGGGAATAGAAACAGGGAATAGGGACACCATGAATAGAGGTATGGTGGTATGTACAGCTTCCAGGGTGGACCACAAGAAGTGAGGGAATTCAATGGGGCCATCAGTAAGGATCCAAGAACAGAGTGGTACTAGACAAAATGTGGTGGTACCAGCAGGCCAGGACACCTCTAGCTCAGGGAACAGCAGCTGCCACAGGAACCCTGCATGAGATATTTCTAAGGAAAAAGCTGCAGTGCACACATGCTGACCCATCATCAAGGCAAAGCAGCAAGTAGGACCAGCACTGTACCTGCAGAGCCCCATGCCAAGACCAGCTCTGCCCTCCCAGCTGGGCTCTGGGCATTGTGACATCCTCAGCAGCCCAGGAGATCTCCTGCTTCCCCCACCTGTCCCTGGCTGCAGCCATCTGTGTGCAGTGACTGCAGGGAGGAATGGGGCGAGCCATCCCAGCAGTCTCATCCTGTGCTTTGGCAAACACAACGGCTCCATCCCAGTGCCGCCAGCTTGGAGTGTGATATAGGCAGGTAGCAGATGGCCACCGAAAGCCCGATGCCATGTCAGCTGCTCCCCAGACCTCTACGTGCCCTCTGGGCTGTGGTTTCACCCATTCCCCAGCTCTGCGCTTCCCACGCAGGTTTCCATCCTGTAAAGACAGACTGACAAAAAAAAAAAAAAATGTTTGTTGATCCACTTTTCCTCCATCCCTCCCCTAAGGCTGCAGTTTGCCTGCTGGCCCCATTAGATGGACCAGCTCCTGCCCTTGCTCCTATCACCTCCTCCTCCCTCGAAGAACCCAAACCTTTGCTGTGTTCTCTGTCCTTCAAGTGCGCAGCTTTCCTGGAAAGAGCTCAGACAAAAGCAACACCAATCTCAGCCAGCAAAACAAATCAGCATTTCCCCTGAACGGCATGGATGAGGATGAAGAAAAGAGGAAGGAATGGAGTTTGTTTTCACGTGCCCTGGTGTTGTGCAACAGTCCAACGTCCTCTGGGCAATTGTAAAAACCCCACGCGCCCCACACTGCTGAGCTCACGCTGGCCTTATCTCTGTCAGCAAATAAAACAAAATAGTCACCCGACAATTTAACTGGGAGGACTTTCTGCGGCTCTGCCTTATCTCTGCACGCAGAGTGAAACCATCCTGCTGACGTGAGCCCCGTCTTCTGAGAGGGAGCTGGGACGCAGCGTCCGATGCGTGGTACAGACCTGCCTGGGACCACGCTGTAGTGACGCACAGGGGAGGCCTCCTCAGCCCAGGTTTGCCACGTGGTTGATAATTACCAGCTCTGCCTGACCATCCTTCGGGTTGCAGGGCTGCAGCATCCCTCTGCCAGCAGTGAGCCAAGTTGATGACAGCAGTAGAGCTCACCGTTTGGGTGCCTTCATCCTGCAAGCCCTCCTCACCCACATGCCGTCTGCCTCATGCTTTGTGTGTTCAGGGCACACGGCACCATCCCTTACCGTAAGCGTGACAGCTCCTATCTCTCTGTTTACACAAAGGGCATGAAGCAAGTAGACATCCCTGTGGGGCCATCAAGACCTTGGTGGACGGACCAGAACACAGTCCCAAGGAGCTCAAGGACATAAGCAAGTCTGCATGCATGACCCTCCATCAGAGGGCAAAGAGCTGGGTGGTGACTTGAAACGTTCTGGGAATCAAAAACGTGCCCACACAAGCAAAAAAGTGCTTGCTTCTTGTTTGTCAGCTCTGTGCGATTCAACTAGACTTGATCTCGAAGGTCTTTTCCAGCTGAGATGAACCCATGAGTTGTAAAGGAGCTTACCATGAAGATATGCTCTGGTAACGCCAGGGTGATGGTGGGGGGCTGCCCAGGTCCACATGGTCCCTGAGGAGATCGCAGCCTGCACCCCTCCACCAGCCTGCAGGGTGTTTGGTGTGCCTGAGGCCACGTGCAGCTCCTCGCTGTGCTGCCAAGGTCCCTGAGGCCCCCCAAGGACACAGCCCCAAGACAAGCACCCTGCTGCCAGCATGGAGCCCCAGCAATGCTCCCTGGGCAGCATAGGGGCTGCTGGGGGGTTCTGCAGCCAAATGGAGCGAAGTGCGGGGACAGAGACAGAATGAAAACTTGGGGTTGGGAAATCAAAATGCTTGAGATAAATTAAAAAAGATATATATATAAGCAATTAATCAACACTTAAAACCCACTTCCTCCCCCAAATGGTTTCAAAAGATACAGTATTTTTGCAGCCGAGCGCTGAGCAGCAACAATTTCCTGATTTCCTGTGCTCAAGCCGTCCAGGAGACCTGGGCACTGCAGGAGGATTTATGTCTTACCGGTATTTGCTCCTTGCACAACTGAAAAACAGCCCTCCGAAAGAAGAGGAATGATCCTGTTTGTTGTTGGCTTCCCCATATGCAGCAAATGAAGTGGATGTAGAAGTGAGATGTCTCCAGTGCCCAGCATGGCTGTGCGCTGCCCCCAGGGATGCTCACAGCTGGGTTCCTGCCCACCCACCCGCTGCTCCCAACTCACTCCCTACTGAGGTGAACTGGTCCAGGGCCAGAACCTTGGGGGTTCTTGGGTAAGGTTCACATCCTGAAGCGATTACAGACACGGATGAGGTGTTTGAAGAAAGAGAATGAAGAAAAATGCTAACACGCATCATTCCTGGAGGCGTTGCAGAGATGCGGCGCTGAGGGACCCCATCAGTGGGCATGGTGGGATGGGCTGGGGTTGGACATAATGACTTTAGGGGTCTTTTCCTACACTAACAATTAGTCAGTTTGGCAATGGCAAAGCAAAAGGGGGAACGTTTGTGCTCCGTGGAGCTAGGGGAAGGCACGAGCCTTGTGCCAATTCATCTCAGATGAACTTTGCCAGAACGCAGGAACAAGACAAAAAGAAGTGGCAGCACTTGAACTCCCTGGGACTACAGAGCATCTCATCAAGGGCTGCAGAAAGGAAATGTAGCTGTGGGAGGGAAGGCGGCTTGATACACTCTCCCACCCACCTCTGCTTCCTATGGCTCCAAATCTGCCCCCTGGGACTCAGCCTCTATTGAGCAGAGACGCTGAGAAATAAGATATTATCCACTAAAAGCTAAATACGAACGTTCAAGCAGAGATTTAAGGATAATAGCATAAGATTTCGGCAGTGGTCACTGCCCTAGGACAGGAGCCAGGAGAATCTGATGGAAGAATCTGTCCTGTAGCCAGCTGCACAGTCTGGTACCACAGTAGGAAGAAATATGTGCAAAAAAAATATGTTGTAATTAATTTTTTTTTTTTTCCCTTAAAGCTCATAGATTTCAAGATTAGAGAAACACACCCAGAATGGTTTTTAACTATCCAAAGGAACAAAGGAGGTTTGCAAGTGATGTATTTTTATGAAGACTCAGACAATATCCACAAGTCCCTTCTTGTAATAAAACTTGGAGCTTTGCATGAACAGCTATGGTCATTAAGTTCTCTTTTTATTGTTATTAAAGTGTTTTTAACTTGTTTGGGAGTCATGCTTAAGCTCCCACTGTGGATAATTGTTGATGATGAGATGCTGCTCATTAGACGAGCGTTGCACAAGAAGGGCAGTCCTAACACAGCCACGCAGACAGGCAATAACACAGCATTTTCATTTGCCACTGATGTGGAACAGATTCAGTGCACTTCCAACACCCAGAAACACCAGATCAGATCAGCAGGAAACCCAGTGTCAGGTTAGGAACAGAGAAGATATAATGGCATTTCTTTTTTTTCCTTTCTACTACCGGGTAAATCAATAGCCTATCCATGGTGGGGTCACCATCCCTGGAGGTGCTCAGAGCCGTGGAGATGTGGCACTGAGGGAGGTGTTTAGTGGGCATGGGGGGGTGGGCTGGGATTGAACCCGGGGATCTTAGGGGTCTTTTCCTACCTCATTGAGTCTATGACTCCTCAGGTATCTTGCCAGTGCTGTATGATTTGCTGGCTAAAAGTAATAAAAGGAAGATAGCACCTGAGGTGAGCTGGGAGCCACTGGAAGAGCAGAGGACATGCAGCCCCAACAGCACTGCTGCTGGACTGAAACATGCAGCAGGTGCATCAAACAGCTCCAGGGCTGGCCCTCACATAAACAGGCAAACTTTGAAGATCCATGACGTTAACGCGAGAGCAGTTTGTTCTGACCCAGCCAAAATCCTCTTACTTCCAGGAAAGAAGCTGCTCCCAAGTATTCCAGTTGTTCTCCTTTCTATTTCCTTTCCAGTTCTCCTTTCTGGCTAAGAACTTTTTACATTTGCAATGAAGAGCCAAAGCACAAGCTACGAGCGTGGTCAGACGTTGTGCAAAAGTTGGCACCAAGCAATGAGATTGGGTAAGGGCCGACTCCAACCTGAGCTGCTCAAGGAGCAGGAGCACACATAATGCAAGGTTCCCTGAGGCACAAGAACTCCCTACAGAAACACAACATGATTTTACGTCAGAGCCACTCGTTTTTCTCCAAATAGTGGAGCTGGAACTCATAGCTTCTTCCCAGAACTCACATTCTCTGCTATATCCCAACACGGACACTGCCAAAACAAAGCCTTCACAGATAGGGCTGAGACATCCCAACTTAAAATAACATGGGAAGAGAAGGTGACTGACCTGAAGTGGCCTTTGGTTCAACTTCATCCCACAATGAGGGCTGCCTGACAGTGACCATGTTTGGACCCTAAAACATCCCATCCCTGCCAGGAATCCCTCTTTGCACGCTTATTTCCCCTACGCTGTTACCAACTCGCTGGCAATACTGCAACACAGGCAGCAGCTTGTCCATCAGCTGCACTCTGTTCTTACTCAAAACCCTCCTCTTCAAAGCTAAACAGTTTTAAACACAAGCAGAAGCAGAACTGACTCTACTGAACCTACCCAAGACCCTTCCTCCGGCCCTACAAAGCAGGTGGCACCAGTCTGTGCATGATGAAGAGCAAAAGCACATTTTGCAAGAGCTAGGCAGACAAATGGGCTGCTGCACAGTTGCAGCACAGTTTGGTCACCGGTACAAAGCAGCTATTCAGCTTACAAATTGCTCTTCAGCAATTTTATGGCTGGCCCTACGCACTGCTCAAGATGAGCAGAACTGTTTTTCTGTCCTCGTGCAGGGTCCTGCTGAGCTGTTTCATGGAAACAGCTGCTTATGCATTAAAAAAAAACCTGTGGACAGTGTCATGCCACAACATTTGCCCAATATAGAAGATCGAAGTCTCTTGTCGGATCAACATTCCTGTCATCACCTGCTATTTGCTTATCTCACTGCTTCTGCTGCATTTATCTTCCTTCTCATACACCCATCAAATCAATATTCGCATTTACAGTCAGGTTTCTGCCTCCCCTCCTCCAAGACTTCTAACACTTGTGCAAGGACAAGTTCAGTCAGTCCACTTCCCTGTTTTTTCAAGCCCTGTCTCAGTCAAACACTATTATTCAGTTGCTTTACAGCATCTCCTAGGAAGGTGTTGCCAGCTACTGTGCCATCTGCATCACTGAGGACAGAAAATTTGTTTGTTTTCCTTCTAGAGCATGAATCATCCCCCACTTTGCTTTCTCATACCTGTGGGTTTCTCTTAGCTCAAAACCAAGAGCTGAAGGACAGCTTTACTTTAAGTCTCAGCACCTCAGCTCCCTTTTGGTTTAGGGGAAGGGCATCTCTGGAACCAATCTGCTACCTGAAGGCAGAGGTATGGGTAAAGGGTTCAGACCATCACCAAGCGCTCACGGCAGTGACAGCAGCACAAGACTAAGGGTGTATGGACAGGGGTGTGAGGTGGAGATGGACAGTGCAGCAGGCAGGGCAGCCCCAAGGAATCAAGCAAACTCAAAGACAGCTATTAGACAATACGCCTGCACAGGGGATTGCATGTCAAGCACACACAGAAGAGATTCCTACTTGCTTTCACCCAAACCTCACTGCAAAAATGTAGTCAGCACCCAGACCTCCAGCTTCCAGCCTTCCCTGAGCTTGTTTCAGAGGAAGAAGCAGGACTAACATACTGCAGTCTCTGCCTCATCTTTAATCCCTACCCATCATCCTTAGTGATCAGCTTCTGTTGAGCAAGCAAACCCAGGATCTGCACAAAACTTGGTTGGAAAAAGAAAAAAAAGCAACCCACCACCACTGCTGACATGAACAAAAACACACCTCTCAAAATCCACTCCAGAATAAAAACGTTGAAAATACCTTTTTTTTTTCTGGCAGTTGTTGGACAGCCCTCCAAGGGCAGCCCCATGCACACGACCCAGGTCTCTCACCATGCAATGTTCCTCCGGTTCTTCACGATCACAGCATGCCCCTGTCCCAAGGGGCTGCCAAAATCGACAGCTTTCACTGTACCTTAAAAGAAGGGATCTGAGGTGCAAGGGGAACTGAGATAAACAGCACTGATGGCCTCCCCCCACTTGCTAAGCAGACAGGATGGAGCCTGGAACAGCTCAGCTCAAATGCAGCCTGTAGAAGAAGCATCACCAAGCATGGAGGCCACAAGGTGTGCTCCTTTTGGTCCAAGTCAATTTAATTGCCATCTGCAAGGTGGTATCTTGTTTGAGCGTGAGGAAAATGTGGAGGCTGAGGCTACAGATGAGCCTTCTCAGCTAAAAAGGAGGCTGGGGGGCAGGAGAGGAGAGGACAGGGTTATTTAACGCACCCAGCTTCTCCTATCCCAGGAATGCATGGAAGCAAGATAGCTGAATCAGAAATACACTTGGGGTAGTTATGAGGTTTAACTTCACATTTTTCTTGGGTTTATCAGTGGAAAATGTTTTGGAGCTTTTATAAGCCTGACCAATTGCTTCAGCAGTCATGCAGCCCTAAAAAGGGTACTTGTTATCTGGAGCAAACTTGGAAGGAGACCTAGCTTAGAGTTAATGAGTTCAAGCTCGTTTAGTTATGCAACTGGGGACAGCTTCTTTGCCATGAAAGGAAGAAGACAGAACTAACAGTGCTGCCATTTCCAGCTCAGATGGCTGAAATAAGAGCAAGCAAAAGAGCACCCGACTGGTGCAGCCCTGGTGGGACTGTATGCCACCAGCATAAGCCAGCATGTAAGAACACATACTGAGCTCTGCTAGGTCCTAAGCCTTGTATACTCAACATCAATCAGGCAAAAACTGACCAAAAAACCCACTGTGTCTTACAATTAAACCTTGCCTTCTACGTCAGAGCTGCTGCATGGTAATACAAGCTCCTTCGTTCCACCAGGCAATATTTAGTAAATGCTTAGCAGTGCTGGACACAAGATATTGCTTAATGGCAGGATACAGTTACAGGTCACGATAAGCAAGGTCCACTCCCTACAGGAACAAAGCTACAATACAGAAGACAGATGAGCCATCAGAAATGAAGTACATTCCCTCCACCCCCAGAACATACTCTCCCTGCAAGGCCATTTCATTCTGCTATTTGCATGGAGGCATGGCAGAGAAAAGACTTGCCCTCCACATCCTTACCAGGGAGGAGGAAGAAATTACCAAGAGCATCACCACATGAAACACACAAATGGCTGGAGAAGTGTCCTTATCTGGTTCTAACTACCTGGACATGCAAGCATTTAGGAGTCTCACTCCCTTAACAGCCACACTGCAGATTCTTGCTGCCAGATCACTCCTTATCAGATCCTCTGTGGTTCAGGTGAACTATTTGTACTAAACCTCAATCGCATCAGTTCTCACGTCAAGTGAGAGTTTTAATGTCAGCACATTATGGTATTTCTGTGTGGCATGACTTGCCTGCTTTAGTATTCCAGCATGCAGATTTACCTGCAAGGAGCACTGGTATAGATTGCTGCACTCATACCAATCTTTCTGTGGAGCTTTTTCAACTCCCCCTTTATAATCCTGCTTTTTTCCAGAACGATTCATATCTGTCTTCTGCTGCAAAAAAAATCCACAAAACTCATTGCCCTAACATAGATTCCACAGTCCCAGCAGTTTTTCTACTTTCTTCTGGAAAACACAAGCTGACTCAAGTCCTTTCCCATGCTTAGAGTACACCATGTACATCTTTTCCAGCAAAAGAGCTGAAAACCTATTCACAGATCCTAGCACAAAGGCTGACAGACAAACACTTTGGGGTGGAGTGCTGATGCCCAGTGCCAAATTCAAGAAGAAAATTAAATAAATTTCAATAAAACAAGGTCATATCTAGTAGAAACAAGTGGCAACACCTTCACACTGCTCTGTTTGTTTGCCATGTCAGCCTCACCCTTCCCTGAAAACCCAGGAACTGTTGTGGTGGGACCAGAGGACAACGTGAACATGAAGGCTGGCCAAGACAGGTAAGAAGAATGCTATGATCCTCTGAGGTCTCTCTTGGTTGAGCTGCATGAAAACACTGCTCATGGAGCAGCCATTCCCTTGGCATTGCTTTCCAGCTCTCTTTCATATCCCTTATGTATCATTTCCACACCTTTCAACCTGTTGCTGCTGACAAACTGAATT